AAAAAAAAAAAAAAAAAAAGGTCAGCAGTGGGAATATAGAAGTGGGTTCTATTTACAAAAACTGGAGGCTCTAGCTCAGAAACCAAGAGCGCAACCCCACATTACTCCCCTCCCCACCTCTGCTCCAGTTCCTGGCACTAGGTTTCTGTCGCATTTAGGGGAACTCTCTCGTAGGTGGGAAACTGGTATCACAGAGAATCACCCCTGCTTGGGGTCCCGTTTTACTTTCACTTTGCATTCTTTTGAAATTTCATCCGTGGTTCTGCTGAAACATCCCTTTGAATATCTTTCCATTTGAATATGAAGTCAACATCTTTGATCAGAAGGCATGTGCTTACTGGAATCTGTGAGGATTTCCTAACTATTTTTATTTAGTTGAGTCAGAGGAAAAAGAGTATGCATGTTCCCCACACTGGCCTGGTTTTAGCGTTCAAGGTAGATTTACTCTTGAGGTGAAGATTACTGTCAGAGAAAGGAATAAAATGGTTTCAGGTTGTTGATTTGCAACAAGACTGCATCACATATCCGTGCTTCGCCTTAGTGTACCTTCTTGATTATTTGATGATGAAGCTGAGTTCCAGATTTAGGAAAAATCAGCATTAATTAAAGCTGTGTGTCTTTTCTGCGTTCTTGATTTTGTAGTTATTCCAATGGAAACAGCTGGAGAACCTATATTTCCGTGAGAAAAAATTCGCCGTTGAAGTTCACGATCCACGGAGGTGAGGACGACAGCCTTTTCTTTATATGGTCGCAGTGACAATCCCAGTAACCCTGCTGCCAGGGACACTCATGTGCACGTTTTTGTGCTGACATGTTTTCATTTCTCCTGGGTAGAGCTGGGAGGGGGATTGCTGGGTAACTCTACCATTTTGCATTCCCACCAACAACATCTGTGGTTCCCTTTTCTCCCTAACACTTGTTATTTATAGTTATGTTTTTGTTGTTTTTTTAATAGTCACCCTAGTGGCGTACAGTGATAGCCCATTTTGGCTTGGATTGGCATTTCCCTCATGACTAATGATGGCTAAGCATCTTTTCATGTGCTCTTTGGCCACTTGTATATTTTCTCTAGAGAAATACCTGTTCAGATCCTTTGCTCATATTTTTAATTTGGTTTTCCTGGCCACTTCTAAAACAACAGTTGCCAAGTTACTGCCACGGATTGAAGTCAGGATTGGAGGCTCTCCGAGCTCTTCAGAGGAATTCATTATCAGTCCTCAGTGTTTGCCTTTCAGATACATTTATGGATGCTTGGAGGTCAGAGGGATTGGGGAAACAGCTGTGACAAAAAGAGGACCAAGAGATAAGCCAAATTCCTACAAAGAACATTGGTACCCTTCTCTCTCCTTCCCCACAGCATCTGCCTGCCCCCGCTTCCTTCTCTTTGCACCCTCTCCTCCTCTGACCCTCTCTCCTCTTCTTATCTGGTACATAAGCAGTACACTGGACCAGTTTCAGACTTGCATATCTGCAGACAGTATTATCATGTTCATCCTCTGATAATGTCAGAGCTGCATAAGTCTACCTAGATCTGAAATGCTATTTACCTTGAGGGAGGTGTTGACCCTGCCCTCTCGGTTGCGTTATCTTTGAAATATTATCACCTTGATTCCTGACCTCTTGTGATGGTCACACATCCTCTGGTTTTTAAGTAAATGTTTTTAGTACAGCCCCTTATTTGAGTAGTTCTTACCCTTTGGAGTATGTGCGTATGCATTTTTGAACATGCTAGTTTAAAAAAAAAGAGAGATTATCCAGGTGCAATGGGTTTCTTCATAAAAGGAGAAAATCAGAAGCTTGGCTCCTCTCAACATCCGAGTGCGGCAGCAGGAAAACAAATAAGAAGATACTTCATGATCACATTCCTCACTGGGTACATTTTGTGGTGTGCTGGGCCAGAGGTGAATAAATCGAATGCTTTCCTTAATCTTTCAGGATTTCTGTGTCAAGAAGAACCTTTGGGCAAAGTGGCCTCTTCGTGCAAACGTGGTATGCAAACCCTTCTCTCATCAAGTCCATCTGGGTAATGGCAATTAGTCAGCATCAGTTTTACTTGGACCGGAAGCAAAGCAAAGTAAGTCACTAGAGCGTTTCTATAGGAACAGACTTCCCTCCTTCATTTGCTTTCTGCTCAGAAGATAAGCTTCCTCAGAAAAGACGCAAGCACAAGGGATTTTGTTCTTTGAGTTTTTGCTTTTTAAACTTTCTGACCAACTGTTTTAATTTTTCTTACATTTAAAAGAGGAGCAGTATATAGCCTGATTTAGAAGTTGTGAGAAGTGCCAACTTTTCTTTGGCACATGTATACGTGAACACAGGTGACATTTTAAAGTTCATGATTGAACTGTACCATGAGAGAGATTCATGCATATTTAAACATTTTCATTGTAAAGCTTAAGTCTTGTATTTTTTTCTTCTGAAGTGTCACTTGGGCATGTAAAAATTCTAAATTGTCCTCTGTGTTGACATACTTTTTCCATAGTAACTTAATCATTTTATTAATTTGAAATAAGTTCAGTTGAATGAATTCTGTTTCCATGTTGTATACCCCTTAGGCAAAAATTCCTTCAGCCAGGAGTTTAGACGATATCGCGATGGATTTGACCGAGACAGGAACACCGAGGGTCTCCAAAATGGTGACACTGGAGGCCAAAACTCAGTTCATCATGGCGAGCAATGGCAGTTTAATCTCTTCAGGTAACATTTTGGGAAAGTACAGATGATTTTTATTTTTCACTTTTTTTGGTCTTAAACTACTTTTGGGGGTCATAAACCACTTTTAAACGCATTTTAGACCCATTATTTGGGGAGTAAATAAGCCTATCAAAACCTGCAGCATGCAGCATAAACCAATGTATTAAAAAGTAAAAGGAAAGTTAAATTATAAATAGTCAGCTTGCGTACACAACACTGGTTACAAAGATAGTGAACTCCTCAGGGTAACTTGAAAGGACATTTTCTCCCCATCTATTCTATCAGCTTCTTCTTCTCCCAATATTTAGTTTTTGCTTCAGACAGTTGTCTAATGCTCTACTTAATATATAGTCAAACATGACTACAAGCTTCAAACCTCACCCCAACCCCACCTCCCAGTGTGATTGCTGCCCTGAAGCCGTTCCTCTGTACCTGTATATGTGGACAGAGGTGACATTTTAAAGTTAATGATTGAACTGTACCATGAGAGAGATTCATTCCAAATTCTGGAATCTCTTATCACCAAGTATATGTAACTGAACTCAGATGAATTTTCCCATCTAAATCCTATTGTCAGCTCTTAATCTGAGGCACAGAACACTCCTTTGCTTGGCTTGCTTGCTTTCTACAAGGACATTCTAAGCAACTATCTCCAGGAACATCTTACCTTCTCTCTTGCTCAGAAAATTGAAATTCTTCCTTGAGTGTGTCTGAAACATTAAGCATTTTATCATTGCTTCTAGAATGACTGAGCCAAAATACAGAAGGTGTATATAATTACCAGGCTGTGTTGGATGCCCAGAAGCATGAGAAAATGTTCTCCAGTTTCCTTTTATTATGTTCGGAAACAAGGAGAAAAGAAATAAATTATTATTTAATAGCAGGTCGGGCTTAAAAATCCTTTGTCCTTTAAAAAAGGAAGGAAACATGCCTTGTATAAACCTTCCCTGCCCTCCCTTCCAATCCCTCCAGGTTCTCAAGACTCAGAAGTTAGCGAGGAGCAAAAGAGAGAGAAAATCCTGGAGCTCAAGAAGAAGGAAAAGCTCTTGCAGGAAAAACTCCTGAAAAAAGTCGAGGAGCTTAAGAAGATCTGTTTGCGGGAGGCTGTGAGTGTCTTCTGCTTTTGGGGGACTTGTCACATTGTGTTTGACAATATGGCCAATGTCAATTATCCCCCTCTCGATTCTGTCCTGTTTTACAGGAGCTCACCGGCAAAATGCCAAAAGAATATCCGCTGAGCGTAGGTGAGAAACCGCCTCAGGTCAGAAGGCGTGTAGGCACTGCGTTCAAATTGGATGACAACCTGCTGCCAAGTGAACAGGTATGAGCACCAGCTCTGAGCATTTCTGTTAACAGCCGGACAGAAAAGCCCTCAGCTGAATGTGGCTGACTTGTTTCTTTGGTTTTTGAGTCCCTGCTGTACCTTTCTATCTCGCCACTTGAAAGTGATATAGTAGACCAAATCGAATTCTTTCTTTCATGCACAGTCCAATTACAGTTGAGTTATTTCTCACTACTTTACTCCTCCCAAGCATAGAGAGTGTTAAACAAACCCCAAATGTTTATAACTGAGAACCATGACCATAAGAATGAAGAACTCCAGCATCAGCATTAGACGCTGCCACGTAAAACAGAGAAGCCTTTGATGAATACGTTTGCCCTTTCTGATATGTCATTTCTCAGATCTCGGTTCCCTTATCCATAAAATGGGGCTAATCTTTGTTCTTCCCACTAACGGATACGAGGAGTAGTAAGTGACATAATATATGTACAGCATTCAGGTATAATAAAGTTCCAGTATAGAGTGTACTTTCTTATTTGCATGTCATCAGATCGTAGGCCCCTACTCCTGTTTCTTGCCCAAATTTAGCCATTTGGCTGTAGAAAATGATAGCAGTGTCCATCCATAATAGAGTGAGCTTTGCAAGTTTTTAAAAAGATGTATTTATTTCTTTTAGAGAGAGCACGAGCAGGGGGAGGGGCAGAGGGACAGGGAGAGAATCTCATACAGATTCCCTGATGAGCACGGAGCCCGACACAGGGCTCCATCCCATGACCCTGAGACTGTGACCTGAGCCGAAATCAAGAGTTGGACTTTCAACCGACTGAGTCACCCAGGCGCCCCTGAGCTCAGCAATTTATTGAGTATACCCAGTCCTGAGCTAAGCAATGAACACACACAATCTCATTTAATCTTTGCCATATTTTTACAAGGTAGATGTTCTCTTATTTGAAATGGAGATGCAGAATGAAAATAACCTGCAACATTAAAATATTAAGCAGTGTTTCCAGGGTCACGGAGGCAGGAACCACCAGAAAGAGAAATCAAACCCAAATGTATCTGTTTCTAAAGATATGTATGTGAATATAACCTTCTGTGTCTGTGAATCTTGGGTTAAGAATCTCTCCTTGAAAAATATAATCTTCACCCAACCAACTACATGAATGAAAGGCCATTCCCTTCTTTAAAAGGAAAAAAGTCGGAGTAGTGAGGAGTGTAAGTAAATGGATGAGGGAGGTCTTGTCTTCTAGAAAAGTGTTTGAAGATACCTATGCAGTAAACTTAGGAAGGTTTTATTCTCAAAGAGCATCTGATCTGAGAATGTACAAGAACCAGTATCATTGTATAAATGCAGGATCCTGCTTTGCAAGAACTGGAGAGCAATTTCCTAATACAGCAAAAGCTGGTTGAAGCTGCAAAGAAACTTGCCAACGAGCCAGACCTTTGTAAAACCGTGAAGAAAAAACGAAAGCAAGATTACACAGATGCGGTGAAAAAGCTTCAGGAGATTGAAAACGCGATAAATGAATACCGAATCAGATGTGGAAAGAAACCCAGCCAGAAAGCAACGGTTATTTTACCAGGTTCGTAATCAGTAAGGTTTTTCCAGTCACATAGTCAATGTTCGTGATGGTACGTAGCATTTCCAAGTTAGTTCATTTGGTGAGAGATAAAAGAAAGAACAGGTTTAAAAGTTAAGTTTCTTAGGGTAAAAATGGGTTGGGATGTCAGTCTTGCAAGTGCGTAAATGTGGTTTTCAGTGACATTCTCACTTTTGTAATACTATACTATTGCATTGCTTTCATTTTCAGGATGAAGGAGCATTCATAGCAATATTGGTTTGTAATCCCCTTTAACTGGCCTGACATCACTGCAGGAAATAGAGTTGATAGTACAGAGTGGTAAGAGTGCTAGGCCTACCCAGTCGTTTCTCAAAGGTTTTTCATGCAGGGACATAACATTTTTTTTAAGGACCTATCTAACATTTGTGAAAAGAGCTCTTACCATCCTGTCATTGTGGAGGCTATTTAAAGCTGTGGACAAATGCTTGTGATAGAACATGAAATGCAAAGGGTATTAAACCGTAACCACAACATGATCCTGACATCGTATAAATATCTACATACAACAACTGGTTGGGAAATATTTCAAAATACTAGTAGTTGTGGAATTTCAAGTAACTAATTTTTCTTTTAATACTTTCTGTATTTTCAAAAATTCTCAACACTATATACTTACGATTTTCATATTCAGGAAAAAAAATACACTGAAAATCTTGTTCAGGTAGATTTCAAGTCCAGTTGGCCTTACTTTATCGGCATGGTTTTCAGCCTTGATTGTTGGTTGAAATATGATTATATTTCTTTGATTTCAAGACTATTTTTTTCACATTTAAACATCTGTGAAATTTGAATAATTTTTATACTAGATGGTGTACTACAGTTACAATTGGCAATACTTTTTCTTGTTTTACTGAAACATAAAATAATTATATATGTCAGACTGGGTGAAATGTGGTGACTAGGTTTAGCGCATTCTCGGGTTTAGGGCGGTATGGTTTATAAAGCAGAGATACGGCTTTTGGAAAGTGAATACACAGACATCAACACACAAGTGTTCGTCAGCTACAGCTGGAGAATTTAGGATGGCTTTGACTCTGAATGAGAAATCCAGTTGGCTTTGGAGGTGGTTACATTCTGGACCTACAGAGATGGGTGATTAGCAGTGTACTTAACTTTCATAACCATTTGTTGTGGCCCATTCATCCCCAAACTGTGCAAGATTTGAGTGATCTCCTTTACAATGAGTGACATTTGGGCAGCAGATGGTGCCAATGGTTGAGCATATATTGGGTAGATTTTCTTTTTTAAGTGTGCCTGACAGCTGACTACGCTGGCACCTTGCCTTCAAACGCCACTGTGTGTCCAATTAAGAGATAGTCTGCCCGGCTCTGATGGAGATTAACATTTGAGATCAGATGGGAGAGATTCCCTTCCTAATGGCATTGAAGCCTACACGAAGGTGCTGTATTTGCCTGTAACCTTGCCAGGACTTGACCCTGTGTGTGGAATGATTTGCCAAGGCGAATCAACACATCTGAGATGACTCTTGTTGCTAAATACATTTTTTAACATCTGATGAGCAGCAGTAATACTTAGGAGCATTATGGGTATTTCCAACCACCAGAATGCTGTGTCTAGGTAATAAAAGCAAACCTACAGCTAATATTTATTGAGTGTTTGTCCTGTACAAGGAGCTGGGCTAAGGCTTTACATCCATTATTTTAATTACCATCCACCTTAGCAGTGCATACTACGTACTATTCTTATTCCCATTTTAGTTGAGCCAAGTGATGGTAAGAGGGATTAAGTCATTTGCCCAAGGTCTCACAGCCAGTAAGTGTCAAAACCAAGATGGGAACCCAGGTCTGTCTAATTCAGTGGTTCTCAGCCAGGAGCAGTCTTGCACCCCAGGGAATATTTGGCAATGTGTACAGACATTTTTGGTTGTCAAAACTGGGCGTGGCGGTGCTTCTATTAGACAGTGGGTGGAGGCTGGAGATCCTACAATGCAAAGGATAGCTCCCCCCAGCAAAGAATTATCCAGTCCAAAATGGCAGTAGTGCCACGTGAGAAACCTGGGTCTAATTGAAAAGCTCATGCACCACAAAGTGTTCACCTATTAAGAAAAGGCTCTTTTCTTCAGGGAGGGGTCAAAAAATAATTTATACTAACAGCAGATTTTCAAATGAGGGTTCAAGTGTATTTTACAGAACATTTAGCATTTATGACATGAATGGCATGATTTTTCTTTCCAGTTTGTTGGGTGTAAGCCCTCAATGTATAAGGTAAAGTTTTCATCCCATGTAGAAGCTAGATTGAAAACTAGTTGAAAACAAAAAACTGCCTTGAAATCGGTCCCATTTTTCTTAAAGATTTTATTTATTTGTTTATTTATTTATGTATTTCTTTAGCGAGTGCATGAGTGGGGGAAGGGGCAGAGAGAGAGAGAAAGGGAGAGAGACTCTCAAGCAGACTCTGTGCTGAGAGCGGAGCCTGATGTGGGGCTTTATCTCACGACCCTGGGATCATGACGTGAGCCAAAATCAAGAGTCAGATGGTGACTGAGCCACCCAGGATCCCCTAAATCTGTTCCATTTTAAGAACTAGTCCAGTGTCATATTTGTACAATTCCTAAGATGTTTATATCTTTACTAGTAAATGATTCCATTCTTATAATCATTAATTATTCTTAATGCACTGTAATTAGTTATACTTACTAAATAAAAATAAGATGGACTCTATTGAGAATTGCTTTATTAAATTCACTGTAGGTGTATAAATGCTCTGTGATTCTAAAGGCACTTATTTTTATTCACAGAAGACATAATCCCATCAGAGAGCAGCTCCTTGTCTGACACTACCACCTATGATGATTGTGAGTAGCTCTTCTTTTTCATTTTAAAATGTTATATATTCTGAAATATTAAGACAGTTTCTTTAAGTAAAGCCTATGTGTTATTCTTTTGGGAGAAGTAGAATGAACTAACTTACATTTATGCAGAATGGTTGGGGAAGGGAGATTATGATTAATTTCTACCAAGGCTAATTACGCATTAAATACAGTAACATACAAATCACTTGAACTTAGGAAATCAAAATACTATTACACAACTAAGCCAGTCTCTCAGTAAGGGTTTGTGAGCCTCTATAGAATTTTTTTATTAGCATTTTTATTTACTATTATTATTATTTTATTTTTTTTTACTTTTAAGTAGGCTCCACACCCAATGTGGGGCTTGAACTCATGACCCTGAGATCAAAAGTTGCATGCTCTACTGACTGAACCAGCCAGGCGCCCCCCTGTAGGATTTTTTTTTAATGTTTTCTCTTGAAGTAATTACAGGTTCACAGGGAGTTGCATAGATAATTCAGAGTCTTTCACTCAACTTTTCCCAATGGTGACATCGTATATATTTGGAGTCTAATCTCAAACTGGAAAATATAGCATAGACTTTGATTATCCCTGTATTCTGGATAGCTAGGAGTTTATTTTCCTTAGGAAGAAATTGGGTTTCATGTCATTGTATTGGTTTCATAGAGGAACGCCATATCTGTTGGGATGGCCTGTGTTTGTTCAACACATTTTATGATGGAATGGATTTCATACCGAATGGTAGAGTACTTCCTTGGAATCCCTGGTGCTTAAGCAGAGGAGTGACTCTGTCTGATATGATTTAAAGAATTCTGGGATGCCACTAACCCATACAGCATTATTTCCCCCATCCCCACCCCAAGTTTGATGGTGCATGAAACTCCACCATTCCAAAATTCTTCCTTTGAGCTGAAGTTGGGTCATGCTTGCCATTCCTCTTTGAAAATGCACATGTCAACAGGAGACGTAACAGGTCTCTAATGACTCAGCATAAATCAGTTATATCACTTTCAACGACAGGATGAGCCTCTGGTCAACCAAAGAGGTGTAAGAACTTGAAACGTGAACAAAAGTGATCCACACCAACTTTACAGGCCAGCTTCCTTTTGGCCCTATACACACTGGGGTTTTTCTTTAATATAACTCTAGAAAAGCTATAGTATCACCCATTTTACCAGAATGATTTCTTTGCTCAGAGTGGTACCTACTAAACTAAAAGTTGGATCAGGCCCACAAGAGAACAGGTGACCCTTGAACTATGTGGGGGTTACGTGTGGCCACACCCCCCATGGTTGAAAATGCAAGTATAACTTTTGACTACCCCAAAACTTAACTACTAACAGCCTACTGTTGGCAGAAGCCTTATTAATTTAAACAATAAACACATGTTTGTATGTTAAATGTATTATATACTGTATTCTTACAGTCAAGTAAGGTAGAGAAAAGAAAATATTAAGAAAATCATAAGGAAGAGAAAATGCATTTACTATACTATACTATATTTATCAGAAAAAAAAAAAATCCGTGTATAAGTGCATCCATGTAGTTTAAACCTGTGTTGTTCAGGGGTCAGCTGTATTCAGTAATTTCCGTTTTCTAGTGTATACAGTATAAAAATAAATTTCCTGAAAGTAATACACTTCTAAAAACATCAGATCTTCTGATTTGGTTTTTGGAGGGCTGGCAAGGTATTTATTGCCTTATTTATTTACCTACTTACTTATTCATTCATTCATTTACTTATTATAGCTAATGACACCTTCGCTCTTGCCGGGCAGCGACCAAGTTCAGTACCTCATTCTCCAAGAATTCTTCCCCCCAAGTCTCTCGGTATTGAGCGAATCCATTTCAGAAAGTCGTCCGTCAATGAACAGTTTGTGGAGACCAGGCAGTCCAGGTGAGAAGTCACAGCATTAGTAAGGCAGATGCCTCATAGCCATGACAGCTTTCCTCCAAAATAGTTGACCCTTTTTGGATTTACCCTATTTGTCCTTTCGGAAGGGGTTAGCTTGCAAAACAAAGCATAGAAACTAACCCCGTTATTTGTTGTTGACAGCAAGTGCAAGTGTTTCTAAGAGATCTTTTCAAAGCATTTGGCAGTTTCCTATATTTTAAAGTCTGCTGGATTTATGTTAGGTTCCAGGGGCATTATTTATAATCTGGATTTGGAAGTCAAACAGAGAAAGACATGTATCATATGATCTCACTGATATGAGGAATTTTTAATCGCAGGAAACAAACTGAGTGTTGTTGGAGTGGGGGGTGGGGTGGGAGGGATGGGGTGACTGGGTGATAGACACTGGGGAGGGTATGTGCTCTGGTAAGCGCTGTGAATTGTGCAAGACTGTTGAATCTCAGATCTGTACCTCTGAAACAAATAATGCAATATATGTTAAGAAAAAAAAAAGAAGAAGAAGGTAGCGGGAGGGGAAGAATGAAGCGGGGGAAATCGGAGGGGTGGACGAACCATGAGAGACGATGGACTCTGAAAAACAAACTGAGGGTTCTAGAGGGGAGGGGGGTGGGAGGATGGGTTAGCCTGGTGGTGGGTATTGAGGAGGGCACATTCTGCATGGAGCACTGGGTGTTATGCACGAACAATGAATCATGGAACACTTCATCTAAAACTAATGATGTAATGTATGGGGATTAACATAAGAATAAAAAATAAATAAAAAAATATATATAATCTGGATTTGGATATAATGTCCTAAGTTCAGTTTCAGAACCCATGCTCTCAGGAAACTGACATTAAATACCACTCTATCAGTGCAAGTGACAGAAATGACTTCTGATCTTTCAAACAGAAATGAGACTTCAACTCATTTTTAATCTGTTAAATAGACAATATGACTTTTTTCTCAAATGTCTCAGGTAAATATTATCTGGGCAATGACACCAGATTTTAAAAAGATGACAGACCAGTGATTCTCAGAATTTGGCTGCATGGATCAATACTACTAAAAAAAAGAAAAAGAAAAATAGGACCCAAGATAGGATTACCAAATGTTTACTCTGCCTAATCAGAATGTTCAAATAAACAATGCCATGATTTCAGGGAAAAAACGACATGTAATTATCAAAAAAATACAGCCATTGTCATAATAATAATAAAATGAAGTTAACATCTACGGAACGCCTACTGTGTATCAGGCACTGTTGGAAGTGTTTTAATATGGATTAATGAATTTAATCTGTACCGCAATCCCGCTGGTATGACAACTGTCATTACCATTTACAGATAAGTACACTGAGGACCAGAAAGCTTGAATAACCTGTTGGGTTCATGTAAATGTTGGAATCGGGGTTTGAACCTTTTAACCGATATGTCACACTGCATCTCAGCGGAGGTGTTGGAAATTAGTCTTAAAATAAAGGAAGATTATTTAGATTAAATAATTCTTCACTTATGAAAATAGCACCTTGTTATATTTCTCCTTTGTCGAAGACTGTTATCAGGCCCCTCTGTTAGATTAGCATTTAGAACTGTTGCCTTAAACAATAGAAATCCAAGTGTCTAGAACTGTGCTGGCCAGTTCAATTAAAAGTAAATAAAATTAAAAATTCACTTTCTCAGTCGTGCTAGCCACATTTCAAGTGCTAATGGGCGCACATGTGGGCTAATGGTTATAATATTGGCATAGATATAACACATTACCATCATTGGACAGCCCTGGACAAGTATATTTATTATATTAGGGAAAACAAAGCTATTGCAGTAAAAGGAAAAATTATAACCAGAAATCATTATCTTAAAAATTACTATACCTACTTCCTTAATAGCTTAAGATGGGTTTGCTCTGTGATCCAGCAATTTCACTTAGAGGACTTTTTCCTATTGAATTAATTAAGTACAGGATGCTCATCACATTATTGTTTACACTAGTGACAAATTGAAAACAACCCAAATGCTCAACTAGTGAATTGTTTAAATAAATTATAAATCCTTACAGTGGAATGTTATACTGTCATTAAAATAACATTATGAATGAATATTAACCAACACAAAACATTAGATAGTTTTTTTAATGTGGGTTTTGAAGGAGAATATAGGGTAAGATGATATTTTTTTGTTGTTAAAAACTGTAAATGCCTGTAAGTGTGCTTAGTAAAAATATCTGATTGGCTATATCCGAGGCTTCCAATTATAGATATTTAAATTTTTCTTTTTTATCTGTATTTTCAGAATTTTCTGCAATGAACTTGACGTGCTTTTGTAATAAGTAAAAATGTAATCAAAGCCACATTTAATTAAAAAATTAACTTCAAATTGTGTTCTCACTGTGCTGGGTAGCGAACAAAATGATTTAAAGATGTTGCCTTCTAGTCCACGGGCCTGCAGACAACAGCCCATTGGCCAGATCCATCCTGCGACTTATTTTATATTTTTATATGGCCCACGAGCTAAGAATAGTTTTTATTATTTTTAAACAGTTGGAGGGGAAATCAAAAGCAATAGTATTTTGGGACGTGAAAATTACACGATACTTGACTTTCAGTATCCACAGTCAATCTCTACTGGCTCACAGCCACCCCCATTCACTTACATGTTGTCTACACTGCTTTTGTCCTTCAAGGGCACAGTAGAGCAGTAAAGGACTGGGACATCTGGCCTGCAAAGCCAAAAATATTAACTATTAGACTCTTTACAGGAAAAGGCTTTGCTGCCCCTGCTCTAGTTGCTTTCGATCTCTTTTATTCAATATACTCTTTTTTAAAAACACTTTAATCGTTTTCCTTCATCCGTATGACTCAGAGAGATCAAGGATACTAAAGCACAAAGGCACTCTGCCCCGTTTTCTCCAGTGCTCCTTTCCTTCAGCTTCCAGTAAGTTTCAGATCGCCTGATGACGAGTTTGCCAGAGATGTCGCAAGGCTCATCATCTCCCGACTTCTTCTTTTCCCCATCACAGGGAAATGCTGTCGACACACGGCAGCCCTTGCAAAACCCTGGAGCGGCGGCCCCTGGGCGGACAGAGCATGCCCACCACCCCAGTTCTGACCCGCAACGCCTACAGCACCAGCCACTTGGAGTAAGAGCACTTCGTTCCAATGACTTTGCCACTGTTGGTTTTGCTTTCCTTTGTTGTGCGTCTTAATCATTTTAAGGCACTTGGTTCAGCAGGACTGTGTTACAGATCTACACTTTCTACTTAACGGGTCAATGACGTTGGCAAAGAAAATGTATTGAAAAATATGCTTTGAGCGGGTAGATAGGAGATTTGTGTGTGTGTGTGTGTGCGCGCCTTAATTTTCCCAACCAGACATCACCGTTTGCTATTCAGTGGTGAGGATGAATATAATGACTTGAGCAACGCTTTGACGTCTTTAGGGAAGGTTTTGCTAGCTCTTTTATATGCCTGATATTTTTTCTAATTTTTTTAAGATTTTATTTATTTATTTCTCAGCGAGAGAGAGAGAACACAAGCAGGGGGAGCGGCAGACAGAGGGAGAAGCAGGCTCCCCACTGAGCAAGGAGCCCGATGCGGGGCTCGATCCCAGGACCCTGGGATCATGACCTGAGCCGAAGGCAGAGGCTTAAGCGATTGAGCCACCCAGGCATCCCTATATGCCTGATATTATTCAGTCCACACAACAAGCCGAACTGTAGATCTCAGATCCTGTTTTCCCTCCTCATTTTATGGATGAGGATTGCAAGAGGTTAAATGTCTTACCCAAGCTGGCACAGCTGGGAGATGGCAGAGCCATGACTCCCCCAGATATGTCTGGCATCAGAGTCAGGCAGTGCTCCCTCCACCCTGTCTGCATCTCCTGCTATCCTGTCGGAAGAAAGGAACCTCCAAAGATGCGCTGGGCTTTCTTTTTGGGCTTTGATGCAACTTGTGCATCATCAGTTTATATCTTCCCTCCTCTCAAGTGAGGCTTGGGAATGCATGGTTGTTAGAACCTGGTTCTTTTCTCATTCGGACCATGACACAGTGAACCTGTGTGGGAACCAAGGGATTGTGTGAAAAATGGATTCTCTTGTGCAGTCAGCTTTGGAAACCTTGAGTCTTATGGCAGTTCAAGGGTGATTAAATCCTTCAACACCATGTTCATTTTGTAAAATTTCGGTCCTTCTTTCATTCTTCCTCTGTCACAAATTGGCCTCTCTCCTCCTGCAGACCCGAATCTTCAGCCCAGCACTGTCGCCAGCGCAGTGGAAGCCTTGAATCTCAGTCCCACCTGCTGTCTGAGATGGACAACGATAAGCCATTTTTCTCCCTCTCCAAATCCCAAAGAAGCAGTAGTACGGAAATCCTGGATGATGGGTCTTCCTACACCAGCCAGTCAAGCACAGAGTATTACTGCGTGACGCCCGTCGCCGGCCCCTATTACACTACCCAGACTCTGGACACTCGTGCCAGGGGCCGGAGAAGGTCCAAGAAACAGAGTGTTTCAACTTCAAATTCAGGAAGCATGCCCAACCTAGCACAAAAGGATAGTTTGAGGAATGGCGTCTACACAAAGAGCCAGGAACAGCCTTCTTCTGGTTACTATATTGCTGGGTACACACCCTATCCCGAGTGCGATCTTTATTACAGTGGCGGCTACGTCTATGAGAACGACACGGAAGGACAGTACAGTGTCAATCCTTCCTACCGGGCCTCGGCCCACTACGGCTATGAGCGCCAAAGGGACTATAGCAGGTCCTTTCATGAGGATGAGGTCGACCGGGTGCCCCACAACCCATATGCAACTCTCCGGCTGCCCAGGAAGGCTGCTGCCAAGTCAGAGCACATCACCAAAAACATCCACAAGGCCTTAGTTGCAGAGCACCTGCGTGGCTGGTACCAGCGGGCCTCTGGGCAGAAGGATCAGGGGCACAGCCCACAGACTAGCTTTGACTCAGACAGGGGATCGCAGAGGTGCCTGGGGTTTGCGGGGCTGCAAGTACCCTGCTCTCCCAGCAGCCGAACATCCTCCTACTCTTCCGGTAAGAATACTGCCTACTCACTTGATCCCCAGATCGAATTTACCTCCTGTCCCCCGCCCACCCTCCCCCCAAACCACTCCCCTCAGGGATCACAGGACCAGTACCCAAGGTCATGACTCTGGTAGCCATTCCGTGGGGCCACAGTAAGAATTGCCAACTGAAACATAGTTCTTTCTCTTCGGCTTTCCAAAGAACACAGTCCACAGGAGTCCAGTGGAGCAAATTGTAGATTCCAATCCAACAAGCATTCATTGAGCACCTATTCTGTGCCCTGTGTTAGGGGCTTTCTTTTTTTTTTTAAAAGATTTTATTTATTTATTTGAGAGAGAGAGAGAATGGGAGAGAGCACATGAGAGGGGGGAGGGTCAG